CTTTCTCCCATTAGATTGTGAGTTCCTTGGGAGCGAGGATCAAATCCGACTTAGGAGATCCCCAGGGGCCATTATTCATTTACTTATATAATTGAAAACTATATTTACTGGGAACCTCCTGATGTATCAGGCACTGTGCTCAACACTGGGCATATGCTGGAAAAATAAGCAATAAGTAGAGTTCACAACCCTTGTGGAGCTTCACCAGTGTAAGCTCATGTTTATTCAGTGAGTAATATCAAAATCTGGTGAACCAGAGGCTGCTCCTTTCCCACCACTCTCATTTTCAACTTCTTTGCCCCCGTAGGAAACCTTCTGGCGAATTCCAGCCAAGCTGAGTCCCACCCAGCTCCGGAGGGTGGCAGCTTCTTTGAGACAGCCAGAGGAGGAGGAAATGCTTCAGCCTGGACTAGAACCCAAGGTCCCTGGAGAGCAAGGCCCAGAGGAGGAGCACCAACAGGAGCACCGAGCACAAGCTCTGCGGGCCCTCCTGTTAGCCCGGAAAAAGAAAGCAGGCCTGGTGTCCCCGGAGGGTAATAGCAGGACCACTCTTGTATTGAGTGCTTACTACGTGCCAGCCGTGTGAATCAAGAGGGCTGATAAGAGTATTTTGAGTCTATGAGGACCTAGTTCCCTAATTTTATTCCTCCTGTGGTCATTTCAGAGGAGGGGACTGATGATGGGAAAGAGCAGCTGAAAGTGGCATCCAGGAAGAGACAACTGCTGGACAGTGATGAGGAACAGGAGGAAGATGAGGACAGGAGCCCAGGTAGAGCGTCTGGTCGGACCTGCTTTCTCCTCTACCCTCTAGCACTCCTCTCTCCAGTCCTGAAGATAAATGCTACCATCCCCCTTCTCCCTTAACATGTTTAGGTAACCTCTCTCTTCTTACCCCTGACATTCCCACAGCACCAGAGTTGGGAGCTCCAGGAATCAAAAAGAAGAAGCGGTTTCAAATTGAGGATGAAGATGAGAGTGACTGAGGAGCCAGGAGCCTGGGGGAAGAGATAGATCTGTTTTCGGGTGGTGAATTTAAATCTGAGTTTGGAGGGTGGTACAGGATCCAGAAATTCCTCTTACTGGACAGAAACAGTGGAGTCCTGGGCTTGCCTATCGATTTACAGTCCAAGAAGTTCAGGCAACAGTGTTGGCTTCCTGTATAGTCACTTCTTCTTCTCCCAGTTTTATCAGTGGGCCTCAAGAGTTCTCTGGAGACTTACTCCTCTTCTCATTTCTTTGAGTTAATAGCACCCCTTAGCAAATGAGAGGAGTGAGTGAAATATAGAAGGCACCTTGGACCCCTCTTACCAGTCTGTTCCTTGTGGCTTTCAGCTGGAGGTGGGTCACAGCACCAAATGGGGAGTTCTGTGACATGACGGATGAGGTGTAGGACCATCTTTGAAGGGCACCAGATGCTCCCATCCTCATTTTCTTTCCTGTGATCACCCTCTAGACACCAGATTGAGCCCAGTTCCTGCATTTGAAGTAGAATTGGGATGCATTACTCTCCAGATGATGAGTGTGTTTGGTTTATATTTGGTATTGATTTAAACATGTAAAATTAAAAGTTGCCCATGTTGATCCGACTTGCCAATCTGTCTAAGTACCCCAGCTCTCCACCCGTTACGTTCATGGAAGAACTTTTAACTACTAGGGTTAAAAGAGACTTAACCAGCCTTCCCTTTTCTCCCACTTCCCTATAGAAGACACAGAAAAACATTTTCACCTCAAGATCCTCTGTCTAGGATAAATCTTTAGTGACAAGAGCATGCATGAGAACAGGCACATGAAAAGAAGCTCAATATTAATCATAGAGAATCACAAATCAAAACCATAATGATGGATCACCTGACACCTGTCAGAACGGCTATCATTAAAAAGACCACAAATAACAAACGTTAGCAAGGATGTGGAGAAAAGGGAACCCTTGTACACTGTTGGTAGGAATGTAAATTGGTGCAGCCATGTGGAAAACAGTATGAAAGTCCTCAAAAAAACTAAAAATAGAACTATCATGACTCAGCAATTCCAGGCTTGGGTATACATCTGAGAAAAATGAAAACACTAATTCTAAAAGATACATGCACCCCTGTGTTCATAGCACCACTATTCATGATTGCCAACATAAGCAATTCGTGTCCATCAACAGATGGATGAATAAAGAAGACTCACACATGTACACACAATGGAATACTACTCAGCCATAAAAAAGAATAAAATTGCCATTTGCAGCAACATGGAACGGCTTGGAGGGTATTATGCTTAGTGAAGTAAGTCAGAGAAAGATAAAGCCTGTATGATATCACTTATATGTGGAATCTAAAAAATAAGCTACTGAATAATGAAAAAGAGACCGACTCATAGATAACGAGAACAAACCAGTGGCATTACAGTGGGAAGGGGTGAGGGGCAAAATAGGGGTAGGGAAGTAAGAGGTACAAACTGTGTATAAAATAGTTAAGCTAAATGATACATTGTACAGCACAGAATATAGCCCAATATTTTATAACTATAGATGGAGTATAACCTTTAAACATTATGAGTCACTATGTTGTATACCTGAGACTTACATTATATTGTACATCAACTATACCTCCAAAAAACGAAAAGAAAAGAGAAAAAAGCATATGCATCAGGAAGAAGCAGGAGCAACAAGAGAGAAAAAGCCAGTTTGTCAGCACAGAGGTAGACAAAGTCCGGGTAAGAAAGATGTGAGTAAACCTTGCAAATCTCTTGTCTTTCCTTGTTCTTGGAAGCCATCAGTTCTCTGGCTCCCTTGTGTTTCCAGCTGAGGTAGGGTGAAGGTAGGATTGTGAAGAAAGCCATTCAGATTAGGGAGAGCCCCCTCAGTAAACGATGTGTTTCAACTGCCTTGTTTCTCTAACTTGTTTTTTTCCCTTCCATAACCTCTAAAGATAGAGGTGAAGCTAAGTCTAGGGTAACTGCAGTTTTCAAGGGCTAAGACACATTTTGCCAGTTAGAGTAAAGTGTATAAACCTTGCCTCTCCAGGTGTCTTTACCTTCTCCCATTCATACTATAATTATTTTGAATATTTCCTCTCTATATGTTGAGAACCATATAAGGCAATGTTGTAATATTTTATTTCAATTTCCTAACATAATTTAGAAAACTCATGAGGAGACAGATGGTATATAATTATCTGTATTTTTTACCCTTTCGGTTGCTTTTTATGGGATCCAGACAAGCTGAACCCCCAAGAAGGTTGGATGCTTCTTTCAGCCACTCAGAAGAGGAAAGCTTCAGCCAGTGCTGGAACCTGACGTCTCTGGAGAGCCAGGGCCTGGGGAGGAGTGCTGAGCACAAGCCCTGAGGGCCCTCCTGTTAGCCACAAAAGGGAGCAGGCCTGGTGTCCCAAGGGAATGATAGCAGGAAGCACGTGTGTTGAGGACTTACAGTGTACCAGCCGTGCTGGTTGAGGGGGCTGACAGTGTTACTTTGATGCCTCCTATTTCAGTGGGAGATCAAGCTGATGGGGACTGGCAACTAAAAACGGCACCCAAGATTTTTAAGGCAGTGAAAGTATTCTGTATGATACTGTAAAGGTAGATTATACATTATACATTTGGTAAAATCCATAGAACTATGCAATGCAAAGAGCTGAACCCTAATGCAAGCTTTGGACTTAGGTGATAACAATGAATAATACATAATAATATAAAATAAATAAAAATTTAATATAATAATCAAATGTAACAAAGGTACCATACCAGTGGAAGATGTTAATGGGAAACTGAGGGGTTGGGAGAGAGGATACTGCTGGGGGGCGGGGGTGTCTATACTTTCTGCTCAATTTTTCTATAAACTTAAAACTAGTCTAAAATATAAACTCTTAATTAAAACAAGAAACTCATTACCCAAGAAGTGACAACTAATGGGAATTGATGAGGAACAAGTGGATGAAGACAAGAGTAAAGGTAGAAAGTCTGATTGCGAGGACTTGCCCCTGTCTTCACCCCTCTGTCATTTCTCTCCGTCCTGGAGACAAACGTACCACCACTTTCGAGCCTCCTGCCATATTGACACAGTCTCTCCTGTCATTCCCAAGGCACCAGAGTTGGAAAGTTAAGGAATTTCAACGGAAAGTCATATTTATATTGAAGATGAGAGTGACGCCGACTGAGGAACTGGAAGTGGAGACAGGACCAGTTATGGATGGTGAAGTCAAGTCAGAAATGGAAGAATCTGACAGGATCCAAAACTTCCCCAAGCTGGACAGAAGCAGTAGACGTTCCCCATGCACGGGGTTGGATATCTCTATATCCAGTTCCCCCAACTTTAGGAGTGTGTCCCCAGTAGCTCTCTGAAGACTTACTTCTCTTATTCTTGGAACTGATTTCTTCTTGCTTGTTAAGGGCCCCTCCTGGAACTGAGAGGAGTGAGTAAGAGAGGAAGAGGAACCCAGGACCACCTCTTGTCCAGCTCCCTTTGGCAGTCGGCCAGTCGGCCAGGGAAGAAGCTCTGTGGCACAATGATGTGTGGACTTTTGTACCAGTTTTAGGAGGCACCATAAACGATTGTTCGTTATTGTCCAGACTGCAGTTTCTCACCTAGAATCCTGGATGAGAAAAGAAGTCAATCCCTATAGTTTTGACACAGGCTTAGAAAGAGGTAATATCATGTATTTAATTAGGGTATTTCACTGTAATTAAGAATGTCAGAACTGAAAAGTTGCTCTGGTTTGATCTGACTTTCTGGTAGGTTCTATCATCCCATTGCTCTACCTGTTAAATTCATTGAATAAGAATTATTTTGGGGTCTTTTACCTAGAAATCATTGGCACCCCTGTCTTTGATGTCCCTGCTTCCCCAGAAGATGCAGAGGAATTTTTCCTGATCTAAGTTTGGGTCTAGAGAAGTCCTTAGGGTGGGGGGAATATGGGGCGGGAAAAGCAGTAGCCACAAAGGGAGCAGGCCTGATTGTTGGCATGGGGGCAAAGGTGAGGGCAAAGCCTGAACCAAGAAGAGGTGGATAAATATTTGTAAATGTTATGTCCTTCACTGTTTTCAGAGGGGTCAACTTTTTTGGCTGGGATAAAGAGAAGATCAGATCTAGAAAGCAGTGATTCAGATCACAGAGGCACCGAGGCAAAGGACGTGTTCAGACCTCTTTCCTCTGTCCTGTTTCTTCCCGGAGTAGGTGAGTATCACCCACAGCCTATAAGGTCTGATGTCCGGGGTGATTAAAGTTCCCAAGGGCTAA